TTTATACAATGAAAATAAAAAACAAAGCAAACAGAAACAGCAATTAATACTTTACAAGATTTTTAACATTAATGTGATGCCTGTTCTGGTAAATTCTTACTCAAGTCATTAAGTGAGTTTGCTGCCTTTGCTGTTGATGTTGTTACTGCTGCTGCTGATACTGCTGGAGTTGATCTGAGACTGTAGACATTAAAAATAAACAGAAATATAGGTTATTAGCTGATTAAACCATTTTTATGTGACCATGACAAGATGTAAAGATTGCTGACAGTGTTTGGAACTGGCTCACTAGTCCACTGACCTGCTAAAGCTACAGATTCTACCCAGGCTGCTATAGTATAATAATACAATAATAGTATATAATAGTAACGTTACTAGGGCAGATGTTCACAGAGCCTTCTGCACACAAATCATAAGATACTAACTGGTAAGCCTATGTGATAACTTACCAGAGTTGTGATAATATTTTTTATGTGAAAATAATTTTTTAAATAAATACTGTAATAATATTAATAGTTTAAAGTACAAATAATAGTTTTTAATCAAATAACACCCCTTCACGCCCGTGAAAGTTTTCTCCCTCAAACAGCAAGCTAACGTTACTTCTACAGCCTAGTACACACAGCAATACAAACAAGATTTCTCTGCATGCTCTCTTCACGTCGTTCTAGTAAAATAATAATAATAAGTAAACAAACATCAAAATCACTTCGCTGAGAATAGAACACAACTTACCAGCAGCCGCAAGAGTTGAAGCTATCCTCTGGGAATGCGCGATTGCGCGTAGCCGCGCGAAATTAAAAAATGCGCGTGCAGCGTGAGGAATCAGGTGAAAGGTCATCATGTGGGTCATTTTATTTACAGCTAAATTATTATTCATTCATTTTACTACTAGTTAGATGGGGCAGGCATCCACAAAAGTGCCTTTAAATACAAAAAAAAGGAGAGGAAATTTTGTCTTGACAAAAGGGCACTTTGGGCACCAAGTGGCAAAAGGGCAGGTGCTCGAGCACCCAACGCCCCCCCCTCTGCACGTGCCTGGTACAGAAACTATTTATATCGATCACAATTAGTATTCGGATAGCGTAAATGCTCGACATTCAACGATTGAAGCGATGCGAAGTTCAATCAGGGACGCGAAAGTTTTCAGCTAAACACTCACAGAGTTGACCCGGCAGATGTTTGAGAGTGTGGATCAGCCGGGACTGGATCTGCAGCGTGGCTTAACTTACTTACTGCCTGTTGCGACGGCCGACGCTGGAGGAATGTCCATTCCTTTGCGTTAAGATGGCAGCATTGCCTTGTCCATATCTCTATGGCAGGAATTATTGAATGGTCCGGTTTAAAGATACCGCGGAAGTAGATTGCGGATGTTTCGCCCGGGGTGGCGATGACCCGTTTGTTTGGCCTGACGCCCATGGGATGATACCGGGTTGCGGAAAAGATTCCTAATTCTGGACGAAAGATTCTCTATCGAAAACAGGAAGAGCTAGATTCGGACATGGCCAAATGCTGCAAACTGCCAATGGATCGAGGTAAGACTGCTGAGTCTATATATACCCTCTTATCATTGGTTGCTGATTGCCGTCCACTCGTGTTAATTATCTGAACGTGCTCCTCCCGAACTTAGTTATTAACAAAACTTCATTTTGTAAGAGTAGAGAGAGGCTGTACCTCAGTGAAGACTTATTTTACATTAGATAATTCAATTTCCGTACCTGATAAGTTAGATTTTCCGAAAAAACTTCATGCACTGCTTATTTCAATTGTATTTTTCTTCTATTGAATTTATCAATACTTGTAATTTGTTATAATTTTCAATGCAGATTCACTCAATAATCTCTTGAAATTTGTTTTTATATCGCAATATATATAGCAGCAGATAAACAAAATATTTTATTTAAGGTTTTTAGTATTGTGCAGCTCTAATATTGAGCATTTAACCTGATTGAACCTGGAATTGTTATAATAACCTGGAATAATTTGTGATACCAGATGTATGATTATGTATGATAGATTTTGAACTGTATTTTTTTTTTTTTTTTCAGGTTTTCTGGGATCCACAGTGGAAGGCATCAAGGCGTGAGATGTTGGCTGGACAGATGTACCTGTACACCACACCGACCTCTGCTTTTACATGGATGGCGGATTACTATCATGTTCTGTAAAGGTTTCATTATAGCAAAACAGAGCACCTGTGACAGTGGAATCTGTAGGTGTAACGTAGTCAGTTAAAAGTAGTCAGGTGTAAAGTAGTCACAGAGAGAACTTTTTTTTTTTTAAGTTTCAAACTTTTTTCTCTTTCACAAAAAACACTGCAGTTACAGCTTTTCAAATTCTTCATTGGAGGTGTACAAATAATTTTCTTTTTTTCAAATCACAAAAAGGGCTGTGCAAAAATTAATTGCAATTAATCGCATCCAAAATAAAAGTCTGTGTTTACATAATATATTTGTGTGTGCTGTATATAATTATTTTGTATATATAAATACCTATGCATGCATGTATATATTTAAGAATTATTTGCACTTAAATTCTGTGTATATATATATATATATATATATGAATACATAATCTATATTATATAAATATAAATATTTTATATATGAATAACACATTTTCTTACATGCATGTGTGTGTATTTATATATACAATATAGGGCTGTGTAACGATTAATTGCATCAAAAATAAAAGTTTGTGTTTACATGATATATGTCTGTATAATTATTTTGTATATATAAATACACACATATGCATGTATATATTTAAGAAAAATGTGTTATTGATATATCAAAGATTTATATTTATGTATAATATTAATTTTGTATAAACATATATACAGTACAAACATGCAAATATTTCTTAAATATATACATGCATGTGTGTGTATTTATATATACAAAATAATTATACACACTACACAAACGTATATAATTTATGTGAACACAAACTTTTATTTTGGATGCGATTAATCGTTTCACAGCCCTAATACAAAATAATTATATACAGCACACACAAATATATTATGTAAACACAGACTTTTATTTTGAATGCGATTAATCGCAATTAACTTTTGCACAGCCCTGTAAGAAATGTATGCTGACATTTAAGGCACGGCCACACGGGGTTTGAGCATATGTGACTGTGAATGAAAAAGGAAGTGTGACCACATGAGAATAGCCAAACAGTATAGATGATTCACAAAATTATACACCAAGAAATGTGCATAATTGGCCAAAATGTTACTGTTTATCAACAAAAATATGACCCTATGAGTTTGGTAATTTTTAGAATAGGATTTGTGCACCTGCAATGAAGAATTTAACTGATGTTTTGTGTAACTGATGTGTTGTGTTTGTGAGAGAGAGAAAGCAAAGAAAAAGAGGTTTGCAACTCATAAAACATTTTCTCGAAGACTAAAAATCTACAAATTGCACTGTTATAGGGACTCTGTTTAGCTTCAATATTTCTAGATATAATACAGTGTCAATCTTATTAACTACTATTTATTTTGTATAAAATCATATACAGTATACAGGTAAAAAATTTGGAAACATTTTGGAAGAAGTCTATTCTGCTTATCAAGCTTGCATTTATTTGCATTTATTTAAACAAAAAATAAACAGTAATATTGTGAAATTTTATCATAATGTAAAAACAGCTGTTTTCTATGTTTCTGTTTTTTATGTGAATATATAATAGTGTAATTATATTATATAGAATAACCTGAATTTAATGTTTTATGTTTTGTAATTAATAAATACATTGATTTGAAATCCCTTTGACTTCTGTACATTTGTGAAAATACAGAAATTAGTTATGTGGTGACTGCATTCAGATGTATAGAATAATTGTTTTTCCCAAAGACTTATAGTTAAATTAGCCAAAAAGTATTTATAGTGAAACAGATTAATTGTGAACTAGATCTATTGTTGTAGATGCCCTGTGTGTGCGGTGCGGGCCCTGTGTGGGCTTAGTGAGGGCTTCCTTGGGGCTAAGTGAGGGCTGCCCATGCAGGGCCAACGTTTTGTGGGCCCAGTGTGCGGGCCCTGTGTGGGTTTAGTGAGGGCTAAGTGAGGGCTGCCCATGCAGGCCCAACGTTTTGCCAATGAGCAAATTCTCATGGGCCCTGCGCTAGCAGCCTGCAGGGGGCCCTTTAGCTAGCCCTAAGTGGGCCCGGACAGGGCCAGTGCAGGCTTGTTTGCAGGGTAATGACTCTTAAAAATCTGGTATGCTGAACCAATTCGATTTGAGTATTATTAATGAAGATCTTAGATAATTCAATAGGGAAATGTTTGTTAGTAAAAAAAAAAAATCATAAAGTTGCATTTTTTTTATATTAATAGTAAGTTTGTGTAACAAAGTTCAGGGAAGAAGGAGGCAGGAACCAGATAATAATAATAAAATAAAACTTTATTTAAATAAAATAAACAAACAAATTACCTGCCCGCAGCCCCTCACGGACGACTGCTGGCTTACCAAATAAAATATAAAATACAAACAAAATCAGGCCTGTTCCTCTCTCGATCATCCACTCGCTCCCCCTTTATGGCTCCGCTCCTTCGTGAGAGATGCGAGACCGGTGTGCTTCACAGGTGCTGCTCATTAGCAATCGCACCACCGGCCTTACGACTTTCTCTCACGTCCCTCGGCCGTCCTGCTCACCACAGTTTGTTCCACCGAAACCATTATATATGATAGTTCCTCATTGACCATTTTTATTAAAATATTGAAGTCTTGGTGAGAAGCTACAAGATTTGTATCATCTGCGAATAGTACAGGGAGGAGTTTGGTACAAGTCGTATCCATATCATTAAAATAAATTAAAAATAAAAGTACTCCGGTTGTAGAGCATTTAGGAAATCTTTAATGATTTTGGGTCTATGTGGGTCAGAGAAAACATACAACCTGTAGACTTAAAGAACATCAGGCATGGATTACTAATCTTTAGATGATATATTGTTCTATGTGAAGAAATAAATGTAATTTTCTCTTTTCAGAGTTCCTGCTCTAATCATGGAGGCAGCAGATATTTTATGTGAATCGCTCTTCCGCTGGCTGGAGAACCGAAAGAAATGTGCAGAAGAGCTGAAGAAACTGGCGCAAGAGCTGGAAGATGTTCATCAGGGCAGCAACATCGGTCAGGTGGTCGGAGCTGCCACGTCTGTGGCCTCAATATCTGGAGCATTGATTGCCACCGTTTTGACAGGAGGTCTGGCCGGCCCTGTATTGGTTGCTGCAGCAGTAGGCACTGTAGCGGGCACTGCAGTCAGCGTCACTTCCACATTGGTAGAGACATTTATCTCCAGCAGTACCTTTAAAAAAGCGAATGAATTAATGAAAGAAGATGAGAAGGTTGGCACGAAAATTCAGGAGCAACTGCGGGATCTGAAGGACAGGTGTAGAGGAGCGCTGAATGCTGATGAGCTGGACTGTGAGGTCACCACTCGACTCATGTGGTCTCTGGCCAGGAGGAGTAATACTCCCGTACCTCTAGACTTCCTCAGAGGATTCAACAGGGCCACGTTCTTTCATCACTTAGCACCAGGTGGACTGGATCCAGACCAGGCCTCGCGCTTTATTTGCCAAGCTCTGGGCGCCGCTACTGTTTTTTCTTTAATGACAAGTAGCCTGAAGGTGTCGGGCAAAGTAATGATGAAGAACATTGGACGCATTGGCATTAAATCTGCTGTTAAAGCAGGATCACGGGTATCAGCTTTCTTTTTTTAAGCATCCCATTTTAAGAAAATTGCGACTTTGAAATTCTCTTTAAGTGACTATTCAGGAGTAGAATATGAAATATTCACTGCATTGTATTGTGATTGTATCTTTCTTTCTAGGTACTGGGTGTGATTGGTTTGGGAATCTCTCTGTATGACCTGATTGATAAGAGTGTAGAACTAGCAAAAGACAATCAGGTCACGGAGGCCAGTAAGTTCTTACGGGATTCAGCCAGGCAAATACTGGACGGCCAACAAGAGCTAAAGGAACAACTGGATGCAATGCAGTATGATATATATATATATATATATATACTTTTTTTTCTACAAATGTATCTGTCTTGGCCAAAGCCAATATATCTTGTATTTATCTGAGATTGTTCATTTACTGCAATAATGAAGGTCTGAAGGAAACTGACTCACTGTACAACTTTTCTCATTACAGCGAAATCATCCAGGAGTTGTTAAAAATTAAGAACCTCATCAAGAACTTGGGGGGATATTCTCTCAACATGACTGAAGAAGCACAGAAAATAATTAATTATATAAAGATAACATGTCCAGACAACACAGTTAGCTCCTGGCTTCAGACTCATGAGATTGCATTTGTGAATCTTCTACGATTTTTCCTGGAGAAGTTGGGTCACATTCTTGAGGATTTGACAAAGCCTTACAGAGGTCACATACACATTGTGATTGTGGCTCATGGCGGTATCGTCGACGAGTTTATGCCAGCGGGAGGACTGGTGCCCACACCTAACATCACAGACACCGTTCTCTACTCTCCGTGGAACTGTGCCATCGACGCCAACGCTGCATTTGGAATCGCTCAGGGGAGCATTCAAGCGACAGACAGAGTGTTTGTCAATATGGCTCGCTGTGAGCCGAACCCTTTGCCAAATCGCTGGAACAGCATGCGAGAATCTCCCAGCGACATCCCAGTGATCCTTCTATCCCCTGTGACCGAGGAAGACGGCGCTTGGAAGTATTTTAACCAGTATCGGATAGGCATGGAAATAGAAGACCGTGTTATTATTCCATATCTTGTCCCAGAAAAACTGAAAAAAGAATTCGGACAGATCCCCCTGTTCATTTTCATATTTGCGATATCATTTTTACTCATGATGTATAATAAAACAGCCACTGTGCACCTGGCTGCTTGTTTGAGCCGAGGCGGAAGTCCAGAAAGGAGAGTAGAATGGCGAAGACAGTACGCCTACACAAGTGATGGAGCCTATATGACTGTGAACATAGAGAACAAGTACATGCACAATGACTTATACAGAGCCTTTAGATCATTGTTTGACAGAAAGCGTAGATAAATCCTCTGAACGGCCTCTGGGTCGGTCCTCAGTGAACACAGAGCGACCTGGAGCAGGTTAATGCCAAGATCAGACCATTTCTGTATAAAAGAAGTGACCGTTTAAAAGTCTTTCTATCCCCTAATATTAACTACTGACATGTTTTAACCGCAACATAAAGATAAATAACAAATTACATACCGAGTATTGTGCTTTGCTAATTCCAACTGTAACATCATGGGGGGGGAAAAACTTGGTTTACATTTAAACAAACATGAAATATTTAATTTAAGAAACTTTTACCTTTTCTTTATCCAGTTCAAATAAATTCACATTTAATTTGCTAATGTTGAGGCAAGCCATGAAAACGCCCACATCGATAAAAACACAGTTTATTACGGATCTAACCTCGTCCTAACCTTTCGTCTTGCTGCGCTGTGAGGAGATCCTGGGAAAAGTTCCCTCAGTTACAGTTTCATTTTGAGGAGCACACGGATTCAGCTGATGCAGTAAGTCATTATTCTTAAGTGCTTTGTTCTAATCGCGTTATTGAATAGTGTCTGTAAACTGCACAAAGACTGTTTAAATATTAAATGCGCGTCTGATAGAAAGGAATAGGCGAATTCACAGACGCGCGCGCCGTGCGTTAATTCACTTGCTCCTACATTAGTAAGATAAAATTATTTATCTGTAAAACCAAACAGAGTGTTTAAATATGATTTGGAACATACGAACGAACAAACGTTCATTTAGTTAGACAATTTCTGCTCATATTATTTTCTTTTCAAGATGTTTCAAACTCTAACTTTGAACCAATTCTACAAAATGGCCCATATAACCTATTTGACCAGGATTTGTTTCCAAGTATGACTAAAAATGGGTTTTGACTTTCATTCATACTTTGATTTTATACATATATTCAAAGTTCAGATGCAAAAGCCTCTAAGTGCCATTTGAAATTTTCTTCTAGAATGATCATTTTTTTATCAAGCTTGTATATTTAAGTTCATGTGTGTGTGTGTGTGTGTGCATGTATGTATATTGTCCTTTCAATTTTTTCTTGTCTGACTCACCTGAATGAAAGGGTCATTATTATGCGTATCTTTGTCTCTCAGGTGAGAGTTACCTAATTATACATGATGAGGGCTGGCCTGTTCACGCTCATTCGCATATTGCCTTGGCAAACAACAAAATGTTTTTCACAATATAACCCAATTCACAATTTAGTATGTGTTTTGTGGCCTTATTTCAGAAACTTTCATTTTTAGATTTTACAATAACCACGCATAAACAATATTCTCTCAAAAATACCAACATGTACAAACATGTTGCTCATATATTATGGTAGCCCTGTTTCTGCTAAATATAGTGTAATTTCACCTGTGCCATTAATATGTTTATAAGCAGCTGAAAAGGAACATCTCAAGGACCCAAATACACCTTGGTCCTCAGAGGGTTAATTCACAGGAAATAAATGTTCATGTTTAAAGGGAACAGATGTACATTTAAGGCTTGATTAGTGAACAATGGAATAATCATGGAATAATGTATAATTATGGATTAAATTGTCCTCTTTTTATTATTTTAATTGCATTTGAACTCAATTTAAAAAAAATGTCTTTGTTTTTCTTATTTCTTAATTACATTATATGTTGTAAACGCTTTTTATGTAAAGCACATTGAATAACCATTGTGTATGAAGTGTATTAATAAACTTTCCTTGCCTTGACGTTTGTGTGACTTAATTGAAAGTGAGAAATATTTAGCCCTAACAAAACATTTATTACTTTAAAAGAATAAAAGTTGATCATCACTTTAAATTAACCACACACACAGAGTCTGTCTCGCTCTCGCATGCACAACATACAAACAACATGCAACTCATGCACAACTGCTGAACCAATTCTGCTAAACTACAACCACAATTCCTGCTTTACACTCAAAGAGCTTTTTTTGGCACGGTTTTCATACAGAAAATCTCTTGTTTTCACGAGGAACACACTGCCATTCAGGTATGCTGACTCGTCACACGGGCAAACACTCGTCACACAGTTTTACAATTAGCAATCAGAGCTTTAGCATACAAGACTGAAACAGAAGAGAGGATGCAGCATTGTAATTTATTTTTAATTTTTTTACTTTTTTGTATGTAGACTACTGTATGTGCAACTTTTTTGTTGGTTGGGATGTACATTGTTTTTGTGGGGAAAATGAAATATATTTGTTGCAGTGAATTTGTGTGTTCAGGGTATAAAAATAATATTCTCAAATATTTTACAACACAGTATGTAATGTCTGTAGTAAGTGTAACACTGAACAAAAAAGTCATTATGATGAATGGAGAAGAAGTGTTTTCCATCGAGCACATCCGTGTTCAACTGGTTCTTATAAATGTCTATTCATGTGATGGTGTGTGTGTGTGTCATTTGAAAACAAAATAACATTTTGAGAATATATAACATTGTTTTTTCTTTTTAACTTAATTTTTTTTATTAATTCTTAACAGAGCAGTTACATGCATCAACAACAATTATATCACATTGTTTTGAGTGTAAAGTTTCCTTTTGCACTAGAATTGAGGGGTTTTGCCAATTGTGTGAGTGTTTTTAGATCTGTGTGTAGAGTTCTGAGAGTACGAGGCACGCTTGCAGGAAATGCGTGTAAACAATCGAGAAAAAAAGTAATATTAAATAACATATTAACTCAATCAGAAAAGCTGCACTGAAAAAGAGTACCACTTTATTCTGATGCAACAGAAATTCCTGGCTATAAGTCACTTTGCCAATCTGTGTGCATGTGTGAGTGTGAACTTATTCTACTAATCCTCTATAATCCTTTAATACTCAACTACTCTTACAGTCATCAGAATCTCTAAAGGGGATCATAAAAATAAGTCACCAAAAAATCCAATGTTTTGTTGGAATTGAATTGTTCTATTATCATTTAATTCCATCAGTTTGGTGCTAAATTTCTATGAACTAATAAAACGCAAAAGTTAGAAAAGACAAAAAGCAAGATTTGGACGAAAAATATAATGGAATATGTATATATATATATATATATATATATATATACACACACACACACACACACACACACACATATATTTACAGTTATGTTTATGTTTATTATTACAGTTTTTCTCGATTGTTTACACACATTTTCTGAAAGAATGCCTCATATTCTCATAACTCTACACACAAATCTAAAAACACTCACACAATCGGCAAAACCCCTCAATTCTCCTGCAAAATGAAACTTTATATTCAAAACAATGTTATTTCTTCTCAAAATGGTATTTTGTATTCAAATGACACACAAACCATCATATGAATAGACATTTATAAGAACCAGTTGAACACTGATGTGCTCAATGTAAAACACTTCTTCTCCATTCATCATAAAGACATGGGCCTTTTTTGTTCAGTGTTACACTTACTACAGATATTACATACATAACTGTGTTGTAAAATATTTGAGAATATTGTTTTTATACCCACAACACACAAATACACGGTAACAAATATATTTTATTTTTCCCACAAAATCAATGGGAGATAGATCCCACATTTTGTACACCCCAACCAACACAAAGTTGCACATACAGTGGTCTACATACAAAACAACAGATTTTTTTTATGCTGTTACAGTAAAAAACAACGCATTCTCACCCCAAGGCGTCACCTTTGACCATGCTTCAATATTTGACGTTTTAGGCGCCCTTTAGCGTCACTTACATGACGCGATCCTACGGCGTCATCTAACTGACGCTAAAGGAAAGCGTCAGTTAGAGGACGCGGTCAGGTTTAGGTGTGGGGTGGGGGTAGGGTACACGCGATCCTACAGCGTCATCTAACTGACGCTAAAGGGCGCCTAAAGCGTCAGATATTGAAGCATGTCCAAATGCTTCCTAAGGCGTCAGTTAAGTGACGCCTTGGGGGGTGAGAATGGGCTGGTTTTAGAACTGCAATTGGAGTGTAAAGCAGAAATTGTGCTTGTAGTTCAGCAGAATTGGTTCAGGGGGTTGGCGAATGAGTTACATGTTGTGCTCATTGTGTCTCAAGTACCAGAAAATGTGTGTAAACAATCGAGAAAAACTGTAATGAAAATGTCTCCAGAATGAGCCTGGCTCTCTCGTTTCAGGGTGCTTATATTGTGAATTTGACTTTGTGAGGTTATTTAACCAGCATGTTTAAAAAATAATACTTGTGATCAAACACTAATTTCCAGTTGAAGACCCTTGAACTAATGAACTAAAGAAAACAGGAACAGAGCAAACAGAATAAAAACTTAACTAAAACATGCCATACACATTAAACATGGAGTTAGATGTGTATTTCTGTGGACAATGAAGTTAATTCAATGATTGACAGAATCAGTCAGTAATATTCTTAAGCACACCAAGTTAAGTCAGTTTAGCAATTAAATTCAGTCGACATGAGCAGCGAGTTTAGTGAACTCGAATATACAAGACTGCATTCCTCATTAACTGATGCGACGGGTGTTATGGCAAAAATCCTGGTAAACGTCATCACTGCGTAAGAGACACTCAGAGTCAAATTAATAAAGAAAGAGTTTTTATTCTTGCAAGAATAGGCCCAGTCGCCAGCACAGCAGTTACACTGTGGAGTGAGTGAGACGCCTTCAGGGAGACATGAGACAGCTCTTATACATAGTTCCCACAGGCGAATTAATGTTACGTGACCTCCCCGGAGACGCCATCTTTGAGGGCAAAACCGCTGTGTTTACCATAGGCGTTTACAACGTTTTATCAGAGAATGTCGTTTTACAAACAAATATTTATGTCTGTTTATATTGTTATGCAAATCATGAAAAGACAAAGTGAAATAGATTATAAAGAGACTATTAAAACAAGACAGAGAGAGGTACGATGCGAACATTTCATTCATAAATGGTGTGGATCCGTATGCAGTAACGAAGGAAGCACTGATTATGCAACTTTGCCTCAGATACAGTATTTTCATGTGTACCATTATCTGGTATTGGTGAGGAGTTTTTACACATGTGAGCAATTCCAAGCCTGGAAATTACTGGAGGTGTACGATCAGATTGACGTGGGGTTGGTTTGGTGACGTTTGCTCAAGTGCAATCAATGGAAAAGTAACTTAAGTCATCATAGCGAAGTAGCATGATGCTAATCTGTCTATTAAAAAGCCATAGCCTGCACAACTTAATTCCTATGTTCCCCTTAAAACAGTCACCGGTGCTTTCTTTAATATGCATGTACTTGCGGGCGGTTCGGTGCATGAAGATAAAAATAAATAACTCGCGTGCAATTTAATTAATGTAATGAGGAACTACATTATACGCGGGATCTTTAGGGACATAATCTGAGATTGCAATGCTGGAATGTGAGATCAAACAGTGGAAACAATGTTGTTTTGTATGTTTTTAATACCTCGTCATTTTGTTCATACAGGACATTATACAAACTGCAATGTGTTAACTTATATTTATTTACACTCGCAATAAAACACAACATTGTGCTTTTGTCAAACAAATTCTTGCGTGTTTTGAGCGAGTTTCTTTCCTGTTTATGCTCGCCAGCCATAATCTCCGTCGTTGTTCGGACAAAAGCTTAGTCTTCTCACATCCATATGGAGTCTAATGACGGGTATAGTGTAAAATCCCGATTTAACTGAACCTCCGGCACGATTTTATCATCCATTGACCCAGCAGGAGATGACCATTTTCACTTTATAGCACGAAACTCATTTCACTTCGTTCAACTCGTATTGCTTCTTCTTATGTTTTGCCTTCAACAATGGCGCCGGGTCGGCAAATGCCCGTATGTTGTGACGTCATGTGGGAACTATGTATAGTCTTTTCCAGACCTGGTCACTTCACCCAAGACCAGAAAGGTTACACCAAGTGCTAAATCGTAAGTTGCAGTTAAACCCAGACAGATACTCCGGACGAACCGGGCCCCCGGACCTTCTGCTTTAAGTCTATAGATCTTACGATGTAGGTCGCAGTTAAACCCAGACCGATCCCCTGGACAAACCGCTTTTTTAGGTTTACTAGCAATAGCTTGTTTTCATGTGACGTCACGCCACTGCGTTGCCATGGCGCGAAACGCAGACGGAGGGCAGGAAGTGATTTTCTATATTTATAAAGCACTATAACACACTCAAAATGCCTGTTTTCTGTCGTTTATGGTTGCTCAAATCGTTCAAACCACGAGGAGTTTTTATCGTGTGCCAAAAGTTGTTGTTCATAAAGGTGGAAAATACAAGGAATTGACAGAAAAACACCGGGAAAATGCCTTGCAAACCTACGTCTGCAGTCGCGAGGAGCCGAATGGGAATGTGTGTGTGTGCAGTGATCACTTCATCAAATGTGAGTTAATACATTATTTATGTGGCTTATAATGACATTATGCGGGTGTTTAAATACACTTATGTGGCTGTTTGTGTAACGTACCAGTTTCCGAACTTTGTAAAGTCAAAGTATGTCTGTAAGACGAGTTAGTTGCTGATATCTACAGCCTCGATGGCAGGCAAATCTCTCAATTCAGTTGAAAATCGGTCCTCTTCAAAACGTAAGGATCACGTCCAACATATGTTTCGATTTTCTGTTTATATATGTCTCTTGTAATAGCGTCAAAGTAGTACAGTACAGATTTCCTCCATCTCGTCCATTGTGCTCTTCACTCCTTGCCCTCCATCTCCGTTATGACTGCAAACCACCCATTCAAGCAACCCAAGA